GGGGAATAACACGCCAAGAGTTGAAAGAAAATGGATGACTGGAGCAAATTAACAGGACACTTTGATGCTGTCTGCTCATTCTTTCCTTCATGCGGAGGCAAGCCACAGACATTGGTTACACGTACCATAAGAGTCATAGAGTTTGTAAAATCTAATCTGGATTGATCACATTGCGCATTCCAGGAGTTGTCCAGAAAATGGCTCTTTTATCTGGTTCAGCGGAATTATTATATCTTTAGTTGTTTGCTCCATTGATGTGTTGAGTATGAATTTGATACCTTGACCCACGCCAACGACTGTTTCCTTAGCAGTATGACGTTCAGTAGCTGTGACTCCATCGAGTTCCACACCAGATGTTATGCTGCTCAGGGAACGGTTGTCAGCATGCTCGTGCAGACACCACATGCTTATTGTAAATGGTCTGCTAGCTCGGCCGGAGCGTTGTGATGTTGTCTCCAGGTACATGTACATTGGCATACAGTTTAAATCACTACATGAAGCCAATGGCGACTTCAAACTCTGCCGACAAGATCGTTTCTGATTTGAAGGGGAAATGGTTCTTTCTTCTTACTCTTATGAGTAAGCCTTTAATACCAGCATCAATGGAATCATCAATTCCCACGGAATCCTAAGGTGGGCATATCAGACAGTTTAAGGACCATTTGGAAATGAATACTGAGGATTTTTATTAGAGGTACGATACTGCACAAGCTATTTTGATTGAAACTACTGCATGGAAGTAAAAGTATATGAATGGTACTACATGTCGGACTCTAGGATCGACCATGTCAAGATGTTAAACAAATTAGTCGTAGAGTCCAAGTTACTCAGACTACTGCACATCTTTTCCGGCGAGGTGAGTCGCAACGTAACGTGAAACACGCAAATTTCCCAAACACATTTACGTGATCGATCTAAAATGTCATGAATATGTTAAATGTCCCACAATCCATCATGATCATGTTCATGCCTTGTCTTTGCAGGCCACTTGATAAACAGTCACACTGTCCCACCGGTCTAGTTGTCTAAACAGTCAAGTTGTTCTAAGTCGAATAAGTAAATTGTCAAGTTGTCCGACAACCGCATCCGTACATCACACTACATGTACCTGATTACTTGAGTTGACTGGTAGACTAGACTACATAGTTCCATAGTTCCAACACTAATTTTCCCTTAAAATTACATGTAGCAAGTTCTGTCAGAATGGGTAAATTGTATCTGGAAGCATGTGAAAAATGACTGCAAATTTTGCATTCTCGGGAATAGTTTCTGCTGCTTAAATTCAACTTTGAAATGATTTCTGGAGAGTTGGAAGTTGCCTTTTTCAATTGATGGCTCACATGGTGTGAAATGTTGGCTGGAACGTTGTGAATTTTACCTTTTAATTTCGCAGACATCCGAGGTATTTTTTAAAGACTTGCCACATGACGTGGTCATCTTGCTTCAGTGTTGGAGAAAGACGTCATGAAAGTGTCTTAATAACCCTTCCCCTGTGACACATGGCCTATCAAAGAATTTTTTTCATGCCGTCTGTGACACATGCTATCCACTGATACCAAATTTGTTTCATTCCGATCTGGAGGTAGTGTCGCAGAATTCGCAGATTTTGCACCAAAAACAGGTAACTTTTTTTTCTGGGTTTGTTCTAAAAATGATGGATTTTAGGAGAAAAGTATTTTGCAACACCATCTAAAACATTATCAATGAAAAAAATTGGACTTTTCTCTGTAACCCCTTGATGACGGGAATTTCTTCCCGAAAGTAGACTCCAAGAATTCCAGCCTTGCTTGGCCATGAAGGCCACCTGCCAAACTGCAAATTCTCGGTTTGTGGCCCTGCATGCTCTGCACGCTTTGAATTACACGGTGAAAAGGCTGATTGTTTGGTGGCATGCAGCTCTACTCAAGCTTCCACGTTCCCGTTGCCTCTTTTCAAAGTGGGGACTATTGTCATGATTGTGAAGCTGGTGATTATGATGCAAATTCGGTCTTTCCATTTCTGGGCTACACACAAAGACCAATTACCATATATACAAGAGCCAGGGTCTACCTTCTTTCACCGTGTTCGCTCGAGCGTGGGCCGAGAATAATAGCTGAAAAGCGGGCTGAGGATCTCAATTTTTACGGCGTGTCTAGCCGCCTCCCAGCGCGAAGGGGTTAAGAATGACATATAAAATGGTAGTTTAATGCTGGCGAGAAACGGTGACACAAGAATTAAAAGGCTTCGTATTTCCCAGCATAGCCAATCGGGAGTTAAAAAGTACACAGCAAACATACATGTAATAATTAATGCACAGCTGCACAATGACAAAATGTGTAAGCTGTATGGGACCAAGGAGGAATGATGGGATATATGTGGGTGGGTGGGGGATGACAGCTTAGGGTCATGGGCGGGGAAGGGAGGGTGGTGGGAATGATGGATTGGGCTGGTGGGCAGGGGAGAGGGTGGTTTGGAAGGGAGGGGTGGAAGGAGGGGTGGTGGAAAAGGATGGAAAGGGTGGGTTGTATTACGTGGTGGGATCCTGCTTGCTCGTCTGCTGGTTGCATGGTTTCAAACAAGTTATTCATTTAAACAATGTAACTTTGAAATAAGACATATTTTTCACGGATCTACCAGTGCATGTATACTGAACAAACACTTTCCTTATCAAGACGTCATTAGAAAGTGTGTCGAAGAAGAAGATACAACGTGGCAGGAGTACATGTACATATATTTCCTAATACTAATATTTCCTAATAGTGACTAATATTTCCCAATAGTGGATAATATAATACACATGTACATGTACATGTGTAAGTGTCACATAAAACATGAAGAAGACACCCAGATCTACTCATACGTGTACATGTACGCTTTTGCAGGATTATTTAGCAGGTGATTTGCAGATTAGTTGAACGCAGGTAAGCATAATTTACTCTTCTTCGTTATGTTTGTGCACTGAAGAAGGAATTGCATGTAGCATGCAGTCTATAAACCTGTCAAAAGATACAGATTAAATCTCCATTTTGAAATATCGATATCTATGTCAAATTGAAAAGTAAAAATATGACTTACATACATGTACCAGCAATTGCAGTTTTAAAAGGGCTCTTTAATGATACTAAATTGGTTGACTTTCATTGAAAAAAAACAAAAAGAGCCTTTTCGTATTAGGAGAGTGGTGTCAAGTCGGAAAACAACAAAAAACCCACCGAACTCCCTATTAAAATGTTAGGCCTTTAGCAGCCATCAGAAAGTGATAAAAATGTCCTAAAAAGTGAAATTTAGCTAAGAAAATTCAGAAGCATTTACTTGAAAACACTTAAGATTTATCGGACAAGTCTCATACATGTAGGTTTGTGCACAGGAGCAGTAGGCCTACATGCAAGTGTTGTCTGTACACACGGAGCACAGAATATAGGTGTTCCACATTACATTGTAATAATAGTGCACTTCCAAGAATTTGCAATGCATTAGCCCATCACAATGTGCAAAATCTGTCGACTCAATGCTCATTTGGAAAGGGTTGACAGATATTGAGCGTTGTGATTGGCCAATGCATTGCAAACTCTTGGAGGTGCACTATTGTGAATCGCCAATATTCTTTCCATGGCCTCTTCCATGACCATGTCTTGTCAAACGTTATGTTCAACGTTACACAGTACACAGGATATTCATAGCACCCTGTTCCTATAAATAAGGAAAACAAGTTTATTTTTTCACACTAACCTGACATTCAGACCTTGAGGATTCATTCTTTAATCCTAGTACTAGTAGCTCTAGTTTACAGTACATAAATTTTGACATTATTTAAGCAAGAAAACCAGAACTTTTTTACCTGAGTTTGGCGAAAGACAACAGCATCATGACTTCATGTCATTTTGTTTTACCCCCAGAACTGTGGGGTCTGACGTCCGCTCCTCTCCCACGAAGTGGACGTCGAACCCCACAGTTCTGGGGGTAGGTCTAATTTTGTTTCAAATCTAGTTACTCGACCCAGCCATTGTGGATATACTGAATTTCATTAAAAAAACTTCATCCAGGTCAAAGAACCAGACTACATTCAATAATTCGTCTTTGTTCACAGCTCGTCTTCTTTGCGTCATGAATGCTACCTTTTTACCCCATAATTTCCTTCAAAAACAAGAGTCCTTCCTTCTTTTGTCTCAGTTTCTGACATGTCTGATAATGAAAGAGGACATCACCGCCAACTTCTTTAGGTAAGTTGTTTTGAAAAGGTAGACTACGTTTCCTTATTAATAGGAACAGGGTGCTAATGCTAATGAACACCCTACACAGGGTAGGCCTACACTAGGCTAAAGTAACTTCAACAAGCACTGATGACATGACTGACAGTGACATGAGTCACGACTGTGTCCTTGCACTAATGCTACATGTACTACTACTACTAGGTCTATGTTTAGGCATAGCTACGCTACTCAAAATTACGCCAACGGTTATGATAATTAATGTAAGATGATCCAACTACATGTATTATACTAACTAGTCAGAATGTTTTGGACTGTGGTAAACCATTCAACAGGCACACTTTGAAACGTAGACATGTTTAAATGATTCATGAATGATTTAAAGTACAAAGAAGATTTATACATGTACATACCCATCAAAATCCCGAATTTTACACCACCAATAAAGTCTGATTTAGTATGTATCAATAAAGCAAACTGTTACAATGTCGCACAATGTACTCTGGGTACCAGACACCCTGCTCTTCTTTCGCCTTGAGAATATTCTACTTCATAGCTAGGGTCTATAGGTAATGGCAATGAACATTTTCTAGCGGTACTTGTACATTATGGGCATGCAAAATATGATGAAAATCATTAGATTACCATGTTACTTTTGGTCCAATGAAATGTGTATTGACTTTTTACTTTTGGGAAAATGTATCAATTTATTCTGAAGAGTTTATTTCTCCCACCCCCCCATCTTATAATAGTTAATTCGAATGAAAATGAAGTCAGGTACCTGGTGATTTTGTGTACTATTGAGACGAAACTTTAATAGGGTTCAGGCGCGATTACGTCACTTCAAGTGACTATGGCCCTACTGGTGGTCGCTAGATAGCAATAAAACTACGGAAAGCACCGGGAAAACTCTTTTTCTTAGCAACGATTGAAGGAGAGTCGAAGGTGATCTTTCAGTAACGCTCTAGAATTAAGTAAATCGGTTGTTTTTGGTGTGGGAATTTCTTTCACGTAGACCTAGCTAATAATGGACCACTCACTACCTGACTACTGAAGACATGTACATGTATGTATGTACTGTGTACATGTAGACGCGTCAGACTTCAGTCGATCACAGCGCATTCCAAGGCATTGACCAGTTGTGATATGTAGGCCTACGGTACTGGGGCTCGGACAACTCAACCGTTTGACAACTTTACCCAGGACAACTCAACAGTTGAGACAACTCGGCCAGTGGGACAACTCGACCATTTACAGTATGCCTCAAATGGCATGAATGGACAGACAACTTGAACTTAACCATCATATTATAGTCCTCAATCGAGACATGTTCACGTTGCCGGTCATCATTATGGTCACTGTTGACTTGTTAATTTTTGGGCTTAGGCTAGGACTACTACTATTTTGTTTAAGTTAGTGGACTGTTTTACTTAGAGAACTCCGTCATGTCTGTGTGACTTAGAGATGGTGGTTTAGGATCCTATAAGTATGTGTTTTTGAATTTAATCCAAGTCTTAGGGTGTTGATCTAGTAGGCCTAATGCAAACTCAGCACGCTCTGCCCACCAGTCCTGTGTATGCTGCATCACCAGGCTTCTGTGCACGTTATGCCCGGCAAGTCGAGTTACAACATAATAATGTGACACACACAAACTTGCCAAAACACATTGATCTACAATTTATGCTAAGTGCCCCTCATCCGATCATGTTCAGTGATGAGTTGTCATAATGGACGACTTTGTAAATGGTCGAGTTGTACCAACAGTCAAGTTGTGCGGAATTGAATTGGTAAACAGTCGACTTGTCCGACGTCCATGGTACCAAGCCTTGCTAAACGTACTCCCAGAACTGTAACAAGCATTGTAGATAGACAGGTATGACTCACTATAGTAAAGTATTGGCTATTTTGATTATTCCAATTTACTCTGGCATCACAAACGTTGCCACCACAAGACTTCACCGGCCTAGCCAGCATAATCTTTTGACGATGTGAGACACATGTTAACATTAGACAGTACGGGTGCACATCACAACTCAGAAACTGCTCTGAAAGTGAGAGAAGTCTCTTTATTAAAATAATATTCGGGGATAAAAATCATTCCCCCCCCTGAAAGAGAGAATGTCTCCCCAAACAAGGACACTTCTTTTCCAGTGGTCCCTGGGGATCCTAGCATTGCCCTGGGGATCCTTTTAACCACACGCTGCCGGGTGGTTTGAAAAGTGTAGTGCACACATACGGGCAAATTTCAAGATTTTCAGTTTTCAAAAATCTTCAAAAATTCATCATTTCAGTTAATGGACATTTACACCCACATGAATTACTGTCTGGTGGCCTCTATAGCCTGACAGACAAAATCTATTGACGACCGAGTATTTCAGCCAGACCTGCAGCCTTGTAAAAAGAGCCCAGATTGTGCGATGTTATATAACTTTCTTTTGTTCACGAACCTAGCACAATGCGCTGCTGCCCTTTTTTCAATAGGGGCCAGATTAGCGTGCAGCAGTGCTGTGTGGCTCATCGCTGCGGCAGTGGAGTGCTTTTGTCCCCGGTGGTAATCCGTTCACACTAAATGCCCAAAACCGTTGTATACTGTTTCAAAACAAGGCTGGATTATCTCCACTATTGAGAGAGAAAAAATGTTGCAATGCCCAGCAGCTCAGTCTTTTGTGCGGAGCATGGTCTTTTGTTAGAAGGCCCAGCTCTTTTGTCCTGGCTTCGTGCATAAAGCCTATGTGCTCGAAAACGGGTCCCCCGGCAGCAAGTGGTTAATGCTATAACTGGATTCAGCTGAAGGAAATACAATAGGCTGTCGTCTCATTTTTTAAAAAGTCTACTGTTTACTTCTAACACTACAAGCAGGAGTCTGCAATGGAACACAAAGGGCAGAGAAAAGAGTTCAAAAGACCACATGAAAAAGTTTTCCTGAATATCAGTCCCTTACTTGTACATGTACAGTGTAGCCAAAAAGCAGGTCTGGTCGGAGCCAATCTGGCTCATCAGGCCTGTGTGTATCTCTGGTTTCCTTGGCATAAAACAACTTCTATTCCCCCTGGATGGGATGCCAGTCCATCGCATGTTGATTCCCCAGCTAATGCTGGTACCCATTTATACTCCTAGGTGGAGAGAGGCAAGCAGGAGTGAAGTGGCTTGCCAAGGGCCACAACATACTGCCAGCAGCTGGATTCGAACCTCCAACCCTATGGTTGGAAGCCACAGACCCTAACCACTTGGCCACATCCCCCCCCACTGTTTTTATGTACAGTAAATTGGGTGACATGATACAAATTGCATTTAAACTTAAAATAACTTACCTGTATGCGAATAGAAAATATGGAGGGGGAACTGATTATAGCATGTGGATTTTTTTATCTAAGCCTGTTACACTCCAACTATAGCATAAGTTCCAACTATAGTTGGGACAGTCCCAACTGTTGTGCTGCCGTTGGGCCGGCCCAACTATTGTCGACCAATGTCTGTGGGAAATGTCTTAACATTATCCAAGTCAATGTGTCTCACACTTGACACAATTCATCTGAAATGAGGCACTTCATCTGTTCATCTAGCCCTATGACCAGTGACATGACATTTGTAAACAATATGACTTTGGCACATGCTGGGCACATCATGCACACGGGACCTCTCTGCTGTAGTTGGGCCGGCCCAACTGTAGCACTCTAGTTGGGACGAGCCCAACTATAGTTGGGACATACATGTATGGTATAGTTGGGGCGTAACAAGCCCACTTGGAAAAAATGTGCCCCTTAGAGGAGACACTCTCTCTTCAATGGGTCTGGTTTTGTCTCTAAATACAGGGACTGCTCTGGGTTGACGGACAGTCTCTGACTTCTGATGCACACCTCTACAGTTAGGTGTCTACTTGGAGGTTTATTCATCTTTTATACCTCCTTAAATGGTGAATGGATGGTCAATAGTACAGATGCGATTAGGCAAATCATAGCATGGCTTTCATTTTTGAGTGATGGGGGAACAATAATAAAATGATAGGTCCTGCATTGCTGCTGACAACGATTAGAGAGTGCATGCTGTCGATCTGTGGTGTGAATGGACAAAATACTTCAGCATTTAAACATTTTCAGGAGATAGATTGTATAAGGTGAATAAGCCTTACCAGCAGATATCTAACCTCATCAAGAAGTATGAAATCTTGTGCAAATATTTGTGATGGCAGAGTCAGTTTGCATGATCAAAATAGCCAAGACTTTGCTATAAGGAGTTGTACATGTCTATCTTTAAGGCTTGTAAAAAAAAACATAACGACTGCGGGGTTCGTCACACATTGTGCAATGGAGTATGTAATGAACCACGTCATAACGCATGGTTCTGGCATAGTGTGTACCCTGTGACTAACGTTGCAGATACCCAGCTTTTTCTTCAATTACCATACCTTGCCTGTCTCTTTTCCCTCTGAATGCCTTTTTCTTTTTAAATTACCATTGCAGCACTCCAACCTCACACTGGGCCACGTGACCTGATGGACATACTGTACATGTATGGGTCATTCTATAAATTTGGGGTCCAAAGTGTGACATTTTTCCGTCCCTGTTACCTCTGACATGTATACCATCTGACATGTTTGACAAAGGATGTATCACTGAAATTGATTTCAAACTATTGTTATTTATTTGGCAGGGTTATTTGCAGTACTTTGAAATTAAACAGTGAGTTCTAAATATTAAAAAAATCATATGCTAGACGTAACTGGGAAGGGAAAAACCTGCACCCCAAATTTATAGAATGACCCATCTGCCATTGTTCCGTGACAATAGGCCATGTGACCCGATGGACATCTGTCATTGTTGCAGGCAAAGAGTCCTGCACCACACGCATTATTTACGCAAACTAACTAAGGCCAGTCTTATGGTGTCTGGCTTTAGTTGTCTCTTTTAAAGAAGAACACCCACCATTTACATAACTAACAGCTTAATGAATATACATTTACAGTGCATGAGGTGCTGTCTCGTTTGCAAAAAAAAAAATTCATGAATATGCATGATGCATGTTACACCAAGAACTACTGTACATGACCTATACATCATTATCCACTTGCTGCTGGGTGCTTTTAAAAATGCAGTACATACAAACGGGAGATTTTCAGTTTTCAAAATTCTTCAAAAATTCTTAATTTAATTTAATGGACGTTTACACCCACACAAATGACTGCTTGGTGGCTATTCTAAGCTGACAGGCAATCTTCATTGACTCCTGAAGATTTCAGCCAAGCCTGCTGCCCTGTAAAGAGTGCCCAGAATTGTGAGGTTTTGCATAATTTCTTTTGTCCCCAGTGAATGTGAGTGGCGTGTTTTCAAACGTGGCTGGATTAGCATGCAGAGATGCTGTGTCACTCATCAATGGGGCTCTGGAGCACTTTTGTCTGTGGGGTTAATTTGCGGGTGCACAGTGCCCAAAACAGTGGTGTACTGTTTGAAAACAGTAAAGGATTACCTTCGAAAAATGCAAGCCGAAAAATGATGGCAATTCCCAGCAGCAGGTCTTTCGTTCCGAGTACGCTCTTTTGTTACACGGACCAGCTCTTTTGTCCCATTTCGGGCACCCCGGCTCTGTGTATAAACCCATGGTAATCGAAACGGGGTTCCCCCAGCAGCAAGTGGTTAAGCTAGATACCTGCATTATGTGTTATAAGGTCACTACTTACAGTAAGAAGCTTGTGGAAAGTTCCAAGAATCTGGCAAAATAAAGAGGGAAATGGTGCATTTGGACAGCAAGTAAGCTACACGTACTTGTACCGGTACATTGTATCTCAGCGCAAGACATATTGATCACAGAAATGATTTTTTGAAACCATTGTAGATTTTAAGAAGTGAGAAATCTGACATTTTTTATTTTAAAATTTGCAAACATGATATTTAGTAATTGTATGCATTATGTATGCCAGTTGGTATTAATGGCAACAGTACACGTATAATGTCCATAGTTGAAAGGGGATGTCATTGGGTTAGTAGGAGCCAAGCCCTCAAAGCTTTTTTTTCTTGTCCCTGTCACATATGACATATGATTTTGTAAGTTCAGAACACATTTTCTCATTTCCAAGAATGATGAATTAATGCAAATTACCTACCAAACAAATAGTACTAGTCTGAAATTAATTCCAGTGATATTTCCGTGTCAAATTACAAATGTCAGATGTAACAGGGACACAAAAATGGCACTCTTTTGGACCCCTAATTTCTGGAATTACCCGTATACATCTGTGTAAATGGCAAAAAGCCTAGCAATTGTTTGTTGTACAAGTGATGACCATTATGCCATTTGATGAAGAATTCACGGTCAGTTCATTTGAAAATAAGCCTGTGATTATGATTGCAAATGTTAGAGAACTCAAATTGTGGTTGTGTGGTCTGGTACCTTGACACCTTTTGATTGGATCCTACAGGAGCTTGGATTTGGAACTGGTTCCAAGTTTTTGTTAAAGGGACTGTGAAATAGAAATATTTTACTAAATTGTACTACAACCCTTGAAATTGCACCTCTGGGTTTCAATTTATCATTTAACCCATATTTGGAGCTTTTCTGTTCTTATGCTAATCCATTTGCATATTCCTGAGCAAAACTATGATGTCATCCAAGGCACAAGCCTCACTGTTGCACTGATTTGGGCACAGAAAATTTCTAGACTTTTAAACATTGCTCTCGTAGATTTCATTTCCTTTGGCAATTTATTGTGTAAGTATATGTCAAGAAGCAAGCAAGCAAGCTTTCTCCAGAAATGTTTTCAGAGAGCAAATTTGGATTTCACGAGTTGAACATGAAAACATGCAATTTGAACCATGTCTTTGTTGATTTATATCAAAAGAAAAGTGCCCTCACTTGTCCAGAAATGCTAGGTCAATTTGGAATGTTTAAAAGTGCTCTTTTCAGTTCACGTACGTCAAAAAAAAAGTGAAGCAGTCTTTATTTTTTGAAATATTTTTCTTATGTGGTGTTTTCCCGGCTTCTTGTTACTTGTATTCTCCAGGGTCCCCACTACAGTGTATATAGCTTGTTGTATAATGCAAGCAATGTAAAACTAGGTCACAACAAATCCATGCTTTAATTTTTGTTTCATTTTATTTTACATGTTATTCAGTTTTGGTGAGTTGATTATCTCGCTGGAATACAATGTATATTTTCTACCAGGGCCACACCTTGTCATGTTTGTTTTACCAGTCCACTGGCTTTTCCCTCTTTCTTGGCCAAATGAAAAAAAAATCAAATGTTGAGATTTTTTATTTTTTGTTGAACTTGTAACTTTTAATTTCCAGAGGCACTGTTGGAAAGAATATACGTGTAAGCATGAAATTTATCATCAACACTATCACCTCACAGCAAAATCTTTGTTTCTCTGAAGCTTCACTGCTCTGTAGCTGCATGTACTTGTACATTACCGACCCATTTGGACAGAACTCGGCTGACTTGAGTTTAGAAGTGAATGTTACTTTCAGTTTCATTTTATTGTCTTCCCTAAAAAACCTTTGCATCTGGTAAATTAAAGTGTTTCTAGTTGTAGTCCCTTAGGCCAAAATATTAAGGAGATGAAATCTTAGGCATACAGCGCTTCCATATTCAAAGATGATTGTCAGGCTTTCCGGATGTAATGGGTTGTTCTGTGAAGTGAAATAGAAAATAAATGAAGAGAGCAAGTTAAATGTACATCTAAGCACATCCATAACATCAGTGGCTGCCCAAACAGCCTCGGTGGTAAACAGTGACATGACTTTTTCATTATAGCCAATGATTTTGGGTGAAGTTTGTTGATATATGTCACACTTGATAATTATAAAGTCAGCTTGGTACTGGAGCTCATTACATGTAGGTACATGTACATGTAGATCACTGCTGCTATTTCTTGATGTTTGCAGGTTGAAATCCCTGTCAGGTCAATAGCTTTGTTTAACAAAGTGCGCCATCTTTCCCTGTTTTAAACTTAAAGATTAAGGCAGAAATGGCCAGCACAAGAAGCGAAGAGATCCCAACGTGTTCGAGCGAGGGAGTTTACCCGTCCAATGTTGCTGCTTTGAAGCAGAATGTGGCAACAGTTGAGGCCCCTCCTTGTGAGAATGGAACATCAACAGATGATGCCACACCCAGAGCAGGAGGAGATGAGGAGATTTCTGCTGGTGCTAAAGGCGGAATGCCTACAGGTGATTACAACAACATTGTAACATTTGAACTCAAGAGTTGATTTTCGTTAGTGCGTATGTGTAAATCAATATCTGAAAATTACATTAAGCTCAATAAGCCACTTGCGAGTTAAATATGAATAAAATCCGGTACACTGTGTTATCTGATTGCACAGGAACGGAACAATTTGAATTCCTTGGACTAAAGACACTGTTGCTATACCTCATGATTTGGGACAAGCTTTGGGACCACGATCTCTGGAATGGACTGGTTCCATTGTGCCGTTCTTATCCATTGAGAACAGTGTATTGTTGCAAGGCGTCTCTTATGCAACTTGGCAAAAGCTTGCCCCGAAATACGAGGTACAGCAACAGTGGTTTTAGCATGGAGAATTCAAGTTATGTTCACGTGAATTTAAAGAACTCAGTATACCAGATTTTATTCAAATTTAACTCGCAAATGGCTTATTTTAGTTACACATATCTGAACTGGATACCTTCATGCTGTGTCACATGTATCTTTGAAAAGGTGTTGTGTGCCTACTTGACATGAAAGAGCCACACATCGTCTCACTCTGAAGATCTGCAATGAGGTACATTTACGCAGATCTTGCCATGGGTCATGTTATCATGTACTCTTTTCTCACAGTGTATTTATGAAGTCTAAAAGGTTAGGTGTAATACACAATTGTGATATGATCTGTATAAACCATTTTGCATGGTGAACTTTGTCATTTTGGTGCATTTCAAATTCAAATTGATCTAGACTCCGTCCTGTTTTCAGACCTGATTAATTCAGATTCTAGTTAACCTAGATTCATATTGTACACAACCTTGAATCATAAATGTACATGTAATGTATCTGAAAACAAGAGCATGTCCATATTAATTGGAAGTTTATATGCACCCATATGACAAAACTCTCCATGCGAAGGGTTTTCGCAGATCACATTTGCTGTCAAATATAGAAAATGGCGCTTTGAAGATGACCAATTCAAATCTTACTACGGTGCATTGCTTGGCTCATCTTTAGAATTATTCCATGTACATGTATGTGAGGGTAATTCCAGGGAGCAACAGACCAACATATTCAAAAAGATTGTCACAATGTATCCTATTCTGTCATCATGATCATGGTGGTAGTACAATGTGTGTGTAAGTTATAAATATTACAAATTGAATAATAATAATTGAAAATTTATAATGCGCCGTTTCCATAAAAATGATCAACGGCGCAGTACAAGTTAAGGTAAAAAATCATTAACCCTAACCCCCTAGGGTGTACGTAAATTCGTATTGAAATTGGAGGATTTGGGACTGTTAGGGTTAATTTAAGAAATGAAAGTATAAGGATAAATGAATGAATGTCACCGTGCTAGTACCCAAACCGCATTATGGGGATACGCCTGCCCCGCCAACAGGAAGAACCTAACCCTGGTGGCATCGATGATGTTTCGATCTTTCCCGGGGACAAACGCCTCTAACCCTACCTACGATAAAAGTAATTATACCAGACACGGTGGCACTAAAATAACGAATCACAGCTAAACCTATGTTAAAATCAAAAATAATAATAAACCTACTAGATAATATTAATACAATCATGAATCTTGCAGTGCAATATATCACTGTACAAATGCAACATTAAAAAGGTAAGTTTTTACTTTACATTTAAAAATGGCAAGGCTTTGCCCACACCGTAAATGGCATGGCAAGGCATTCCATAATATAGGAGCAGCCATGGCGAATGCCCTGTCACCAAGTGTGAGTAGCATTTTACTGTTAGGGTAACTTGTGAAGAGATTGTGAAGGTGGAAAAACGCTGCACAAGCCTCAGTGATGTTTTTACATGTACGTGTAAACACTTGTGTAATTTTTGTTGAAGGTGCTCATCTATCACAGATTTCTTTCACAATTTCGACTTTGCAAGGATCATGTAAAGCATTTTGTTGCCATGGTAACAGACCGGCACCTTCACTGCCTCCTTTGTTTCAGGTACAATGTGGAATAAAATTCATTGAAGTTAGCAAATGAAAAGTAATCATGCGTGACATACATGTACTGTATATAAAAGAAAGGGCCTTGCTATGCTATCTGGTCATGTTGGTTGGTTTCCGACATCACTGCCTTCACAACAGTGCCCAACACGATCATTTTCTGTGAAAAACAAAATTTAAAACCCAGGATGACATTTACACGGAACTGCCTGTAAGTACATGTACCTCGTAAGTTTCCTGTATACGGTAGTTCATTTGACAATAACTGTCGACAATAACCAATTAAGACTATTTTTTCCAGTGTCAGACACAAGTCCACGGAGTCACACAGCTGAGCAAACCTACCATGTCAAGTGGATCAAATGGCGAGGAAATAACACACCTATCATCACACAGAATGAAAATGGTCCTTGCCCCCTCATTGCCATCATGAATGTGCTGTTGCTGCGGGGAACCATCCACATCCCGCAAATGGTGGAGATGGTGTCTGCCAGTCAGTTGGTGGGCTACCTTGGGGACTGTCTGCTCAACCGATCCTTGGAGGTAGATGTAAGATACATCATATTTTAGAAAGGTGTCGAGATGCACTGTTGCATTAAATCAAAATGTTTCTGACGTTATTATTGTCATAAGAAGGCCAATATTGGCTTGCAAAACAAAACAAAATCGTCTAAACGCTTAGTAATCAACAGCTTTTGCCAAAAGACATTTCTGGTTTATTTTGGATGGAGCAAGAAAGATTCAAATTACATTGCAACAGCATGTGTTCACCTCCGGGAGGCCATTATCCAACTTTGTGTGAATGCAATGTTTTGTGGTTAACCATCCATCCTCAATTATTTTTGTGAAGTGTGTATCCAAGAGCCCATAACATTAAGCTACCACAGCCTAAAATTACAGGAGGGTGGCACACAATGCGAGCGTGAACCATTACAGTGTGGGGTCTGGGGCTCCCTTGGGGAATTTTGGATTCTAGATGCTTTGCGGTGCAATCTGAGGTGTTTCCTGGGCACTTTCTTCTGACTCCTTGAATCAAATTTGCTGGTAGTAACTATTTGAAATGACGGCAAGATTGTTATCGGGAGGCTATCAATAGGCGATTTTTTTTCTGGTACATTTTTTTTACTGATCAGAACTTGCCATCGAGCGGATGGTTCGGGGGTTACATGTGCGTACGTGGGCACAGTGTATGATGTACAGTCGCTTCTGAAATTCTGGATCTTACAAATAACTCCATGGTCATATTCCAGCGACAAAATCCTATAATTCTGGTGAAATATGATCAGTAGTCCACCTCGTGTATTTGAAAAACTACAAAATTACTTTCAAAATCTAAGCTTTTAATTTGGACTTATGGTATCACCAAATGTGAGAACACTTTTTCTAGGTCTGAATCGGTTTAACTAGTTCCAAATAGCACCATTTTTATTTTCCTATAAAAGCAACCATGTGAAATATCCATTTTCAGCCAAAGCCATTGTAGCAAGCTAATTTTCTAATTAAGAATCAATTGATTTGAGAAAATTAGTTCATAAATAACAATTTCAGTAAATTAAAAAGTGAAATTTGAGTAAATTTTGACTCGAGTTTTTCAGCTGTACTGTTAGCAATCAGTGACTATAATTAATGGCAAAATGAAAATGCTATGACCAGGAGATTGGAATAAGTCCAGAATTTTTTGCTTCTGTACTTTTCTGCGTCTGACTTTGATCATAAATGCTGCAAAGTGCTACACTGCTGTGCTGAGTACTGATAACAAACTCATGTTGGTTCCATAAAGTGCAGTAAACGTCTTTGCATGACATAAACTGCAAAGATGGTGGAAAATAGGGATAATGCAATAGAAGAAAACAGAAGGGTGTTGAGAAAGAATCAAATTTTTTCCCCAAATTGGAGGATTTTGGAGGATTGAGGAAGGTCCCTAGCAAAAAGGGCCCTGGGGTTAGGGTTAAGGCTGATGTAATTGATCTGATATATGAAACGTATACACAAGCACGTAAGCAGTCTATTTTGTGAGACAAGTGGCCTGTCTAGACTTATTAAAATTACAGTATCGATTTACTCTTTGTGACTGACTCTGTACTGTCACCTTACTGCCCTGGTCTTTACCCAGAATGCCTCTGAGGGAGTCCAACGCAACTACGAGCAGAACATCCACGATGCAATGGAGATAATCACCAAGCTGTCAACAGGTTTAGACGTCAATGTCAAATTCACAGGGTAAGTAACTTGATGATTGGTCAAGGATGAAGTGTGTGGCTTGCATTCAATCCTGTTTTTGAAAGATAAGAGTGTGCAAACTGGTCAAGTTAACGATGGCCAGAGTAAAGATATGTTTCAAATGCAAACTGAATTATTTCATCCTAACTTCACCCTTACTTTCATGTACCTTTTCCACAAACAGGGTCAAAGACTTTGAGTACACTCAGGAATGCGTGGTGTTTGACCTGCTGAATATTGTACTGTGCCATGGCTGGCTGTATGACCCACAGAACACGGAGATTGTTTCAGCTGTAGGCACTTGCAGTTATAACCAGGTAGTGGAGAAGATTATTGCAAGCAAGAGCTCTAAGGATGAAAACGAACAGCATCAAGGTAAGCCTGAGTAGGAGTCGGGACACTTTCACTGTTCTGCTAAGAAGGCATGTGTTTGTGTGGAGCCACCGAGAACCAGTCAAGCATTAAACATGGCTGGCTAACCATTACAGTTGGTTACTTATTTTTGGTAAAGCAGTTTTTTTCTTCTGTGCTTTGTTCATTTCTGTAGTTTGTCTACTGACTGTTTGTAGGAAGTGAAAATAGCACAGTTGGTACTAATTTTAGTGTACTCAGATGGTGTAGATTATTTGTGTGATGTGCATTGCCCGTGACCAGCTTTCAACAAAATGTGCACAGCTGTCACATGCCAAAGGGATTTGAGTTCTCATTGCTGTTTTCTGATTGTTACCTTGTTGGCTTTTCAGGTCTGGTTGCTGAGCAATTCCTGGAGAGCACAGCAGCTCAGTTGACATTTTACGGTTTGTGTGAGCTGAATGCTGCCACGGAAGAGGGAGAACTTTGTGTATTCTTCAGGAATAACCATTTCAGCACATTAATCAAACACAGTGTAAGTAGGGTGTGCAGCTGTTTGCTTCATATCCAGGCCCTGTTTGGGCTAACTCAATCAATTACAACCAACTCATGGAAAATCAGGCCATTAATACAAACTTGCCATTGCCTGCCAAAGATAAAATGTGGACTCAGCCTTATTGTTTTTGATGTTACCATTCCACAGATTAGTTTGATGCTTTCATAGTACTTGCAACTTGAGGTTTGAACTTGGAAGCTTCATGGGTTAAATATACACAATGCGAGACCTTCCTGAAATCATTTGATCAATATTTGATTTTACTAAGCCTAAGTGGTTACTTGTATACATTTTAAACCAGTTTTATAGAGTTCAAACCTACCAGTCTTGTGAATCATCAAACTTTCAAATTCTGAAGGATGTAAAATATCAGATTACTGATTGGATACTTCATTGGGAAATTACTTCATCACAGGCTGTTCACTTTTTGGAATTTTCATATTGGAACAAAAGCGAGGCTGCACTGGCAAAACACAAACTTGTGAGTAAAAAAATTATGATGTAGGTTGCTGTAGCCTTCAGGTGTCTAGTGCCAGTGCAGCCTCTCTTTCATCCAGTCTTTCATAAGACCATGTTGGAAGTTATCATTGACAGTTGTCACAAAATCTTGTGCCTTTATTTGACTAAAACTCCTCAGATATACAGTTGTAGACATGAAATGGTGACCCGGTCTTTCTCTTGTTGCAGAGTGAACTGTGCATATTAGTGACGGATCAGGGTTTTTTGACGGAAAGCAATATCGTCTGGGAGACGTTGAGCAGTGTGGAGGGAGACAGTGGGTTTGTAGACGGAGAATTCAATCCAAGCCCCCCAACCAGTCATATGGCACCTGGAGCGGCTGTCAATATGTCACCAGACCAGCAGCTAGATGCAGAGTGAGTTGCTGATGCAATCCCCTTGAGCAGAATCACTCCCTCATTGGTTGAAAGGAGCCGTCTTGGTTCCTCTTCATGTTGTTCGTAGTGACACAACCGCACCACGTGCATTTCATAGTTGTTTGTGAACTGGCAAAGTGCATTTCCCACCAAAGGAGCCTCTGTTGCTAGGATAATTGCGCCCTCTCTTGGTCCCACTCAGGGCGGATAGGGTAATTATCATGGAATAGGCAAGTTGAAAACATTACCTGGCTGATAAGCCAATAAGCCGTTTGCAAGATTAATTTGAATAAAATCTGGTACTTTTAGTTATCTGATTGCACGTAAACATAACAATTTCAAGTCCCCAGACTAAAGACACTGTTGCAGTACCTCATGATTCAGGGAGAGCTTTTGCATAGCGACCACCATCTCTGGAATGGACTGGTTCCTTTGTGCCTTTCTTATCCATTGAGAACAGTGTATTGTTGCAAGGCGTCTCTTATGTAACTAAGGAAAAGCTTGCCCTGAATCACTAGGTATACATGTAGCAACAGTGGTTTTAGTATGGAAAATTCAAATTGTTATGTTCATGTGGATTTAAAGAACTCAGTGTACCAGGTTTTATTCAAATTTAACTCGCAAAAGGCTTATTCACTACTCCAACAAAACGTGCATGGAATAAAGTGTGTTGTAAGTCAATCCCTCAACCAGTCATATTGCGTCAGGGCTGGTCGTCTTAGCAGATGATGTTCCATAGTGTTTTTTTTCATGTTGTAGAAAATGTGGTTAGAAATGTTGAACAAATTTTGTACAAATCACATTTACTTTCAAGAGCCAGTATTTGTGCTGTACAACCTACTTGCATAAAGTGACCATGTTAACTTGTTACCTTGAAAAGCGGAGATTTGCACCTGAAAGTAACGCCACGCCTGGGGCCAGTCGGTTGATATATAATATCATTTGCAAGTGGTGGACTGCATCTTTGTGCGCATTTCTCCGCAGTTACCTGGTGGCATTGTCTCTTCAACAAGACCAACAACAGGAAGCCAGGCTCAGCCAGCACCAAGACCAAGACACACATGTGGCAGGGATGGCTTCAATGTCAGAGTAAGCCTGCAGTTTGTGCATCAGTAACATAAACATCATGAAGCATTTCTGGTTGTGAAACCAAAGATTCCTCAAAAGTGTCTCAGGCACTGTAGGTCTCAATCCTGAAGAAACCTGTAGAGAGGAGACAGTGAGAAGCAGTTACAGTTGTAGAGGTGGGAGGAAAACCCCAGAGGAATATTCTGGGTAAAACCCACAGAATCAGGTAGAGACTGAAAACCCAATCCACATGTGGACCGGGCCGGGATTCGAACCTGGGCCATAGAAATGAGAGACAAGCAAAGAACCTCTTCTCCAACCCTGACAGATGCTGCATAAATTGAAGCCAGTCCTATCATGAGGCATACATGTATATTCCAAGTTGGTTACAGGTCTGATCCCATTCACAAACACCACAGGTTGATCATTGACAAAAGACTGAATTTGTCGTAGTTCTCTTGGTAATCATCTCAACTAAAGGCTAGCGACTGGATGACTTTTGATTCAGCAATAGGCTGGGGCGGACATCCAGAACATTTGCAAAATGGCGGGTAGCAACCACACCGTGCCAATGAAAACAACTGCAATGTGCGTGCACATACATACTGATACAAGAAAAGATTGAGTAGGCTGATCGTCTGATTGGCTGGTGCGTGAGCACATCGCCATGGTTGCAGTTGTTTTCATCCGCGTGGTGTGGTTGCTACCCGCCATTTTGCGAAAGTCTCGGATATCCGCCCCAGCCTAGTGGGACTCTTTCAGGCTTATCAGGCTTGTGTCTTTTATGAATCAGGGAGCTCTAAGTTTTTGTTCCTTGGGCTTTTAGCTCTGAGGGTTCTGTCATTTTTAAGAGAACAGCTAGATTTCATGCATAATTTCTTGAAAATCAGGCAGTTCATTAGACAATTTCTGTGTCAGTGTTAAAGTTTTGACCCGCTTTGTTCACATCACAGTCATGAGCTAGCATTACAACTCCAAGAGCAGGAGGACCGTAGACTTGCCCAGAACCTAGCTCAAGAAGAACGGCAAGCCCAGCAAGAAGCCCCACCCCAGGGGGCCCAAGCTGCTACCCCACCCCAACCAGTCCCTGCAAACTCCACCAACAGTCATCATAAGGTACAAAGTCTCATATTCATGCTTATCTCCCTCTTATTGGTAACCCGTTACCCATTTCCAGAATAATAGGCCCAGTAATAAGCCCTGCTCAGCCCTTTCCCTTCCCCATGTGACAGCCCCTGAACATTCAAATAAAGCCTAGTTCCCATATGGTTCCCACAGCATGCAAGATGTCAAGATGCAGATAGTCACAGAAGAGATGCTGCGTGACGTCCTACAAAAATATTAAACAGAATGGCATCCAAAACTTGGACAGTTTGTGCCTGAAATGCCTTTTGTTACATGTAGGTGGTGACCTAATACTCCAGTATGTTGGCGATTGTGTCCACAATTGGGGCTTCATATTTTAGTAATTACCAGTGGGAGAATATTGGCATGATGCATGATACATCGTTGTGTGTCTGTCATGCCAGCATACCTGTTTGCATTATGTCTACAGTCCCTGTTTGCATCAGTTGCGAAAGTCCCTGGCAAGAAGTTTCCATCTTGTTGTCGTAGCATGCTGGGATTATAACGATACATGAATGCCAGGCTGACAAAAAGTCATTTTGTGTTTGTTTTGTGCAGGAAAAATCTTGCACATTATTGTGAGGAGGGGTTCCAGTAGTTACGTCTTTCTTTTGCCCCATCCGTGAACCACCTGGAGAGGCGTCATGTTCTAATCAGCGCAACAAACGACACAGCTAGTCGACTTCACCTATTTGGCAAAGAAGATTGAAGTTTCCCATCACTACCAGATGTTGAGTCACTGCAGAAAACTTGCCTTATTTAGCACCAAGAGGTATACTCTGTCTCATCCTACAGGTGTATTTATTTCTGAAATCACTCATGTATCATTCCTGGGAGTTTTTTCCAGGATTTTTTTCTCCCTTCGGAGGGCTACTAAGCCAAAAGCTTAGCGTTTTTAACTGAACATATGAAGAATTGGCCAGTAACCAGTCAGAGAGCAAGAAATGCAGCTTAGCAAATGTTTGTTGATACTTGTTTCATAAATTCATTTAGTGGATTTTGCTTAGTCTGGTACCAGTCCCTTTGTACGGTCAAAGACCAAAGGCATACTGATACAGATCTGGTACCTAGACACCTTTGTCTGGGTGTAACCTATGCTGCTCTTAGTTTTGATTTCAGATACTAGAAACAAAGTAAAGCATTTCACTTGGTTTGCATAAAACATATTGACTGTGTAGACACTTTCATGCCTCTTGAAGGCATGTCATGAGATCATATAACAGGTTCATGAGTTCAACTTGTAGACTAGCTTAAAGTACATGGACATGTACATCCAGGTATTCCTGTGATTATTATTTTCGTGAATCACCGTGCATACAGTAAATCCTCGTCTTCATGATAGTGGAGTTGTTGATCGCATGTTATAAATTTGTTCACTCTGGTGATCAGTTGATGGAACATTTGACTATCTGATGGGCACGAACCCCAATAATTGCGATGCAGTCATACAACTGCTCGCACAAAATTGATTCTGAACCCATGAGCGATGATGATCCTTCGAATACAAAGAAGCAACTTAATAAACAATTACAGCAACTGCCAGAAAACACAGGAACATCTGTTGAAGCCCTGATTGGGAACAAGACAGCTTCTTGTCACAAGTTTACAGCAAATGAGAAAGAACAGCAACTTGCCCACAGAGAGGATTCAGTCAGGTGTTGAATTGAACGAGTCATTCAACCGTGACACAAATGTGTACTGCACTCCCCCTCATGCAAGCGTGTGGTACTGCATTGTTTGCTTATGTGAAGAGGTGGCTGAATGTCTGCATGTATACATGTGGTCATACGCAGCAAGGTATGAGACGGAGAGAA